CGCCCAGAGGCATCCCTTCTGTAAGAAAGGCAGAACACGCAGGGGCGAGGCCCAGCACCCAGATGCGCTGGGCGCCATGGGTCACAGATCCAGCTGCGTGCTGACAAGCGCAGGTGCGGGGTGCACTTCCGGCTTGCGGCCCCGGGGAAGCTTCATCTCCCCACGCTGGGTCTCAGGGCCACTGGGCTGCGTGCCTCCTGGCTTGCATGGTGATGGTCGGTGGCCGTGAACCCTTCACACGGGGGTCATGTGTATGTCGAGTGAAGAGATGTCCTGGCTGCCGGCCCCGCCCACTGGGGCCTAGGGGCTGGGAGGCAGCAGAGGTGTGGCAGCCGTAAGGGACCAGGAAACCACCTGTGAGGGGGACTCCACCTTGGACAGCTGTCTGTCAGACCCAAGAAACCACAGGGCCAGGCCTCCTCTGCAGTGCGCATCAGTGTGCCCGAAGCCATTATCCAGACCAGGAGTCCAGGCCCCTCCTCCCTCAGACCCAGGGGTCCAGCCCCAGCCCTCCCTCAGACCCAGGGGTCCAGCCCCAGCCCTCCTCTCTCAGACCCAGGGGTCCAGCCCCCTCTCCCACAGGGACCTGCTCTCGGTGCCCATGTGACTCGGTGACACCCGGGTTCTGTGACCTGATGTCTGCTGGCCCAGGCCGTGAGGCCCGGCCGGGGAAGTACTTTCCCCAGGCCTCATTATCCCTGTCTGCAAGCGGTCCAGGGCGCAGACAGAGCTGCTGAGACAGGAAGTCCCCTCTGGCCCAGCTCCCCTCCAGGCAGGGGCACAGCGATGGCGGAAGCTGGGTGCAGAGCGTGGCAGGCGCAGGGTCCCAACCAGCGGGTCCTCTCCTCCCTCCGGCTCCTCCCGCCTCCTCCCAACAGGCACTCGGGGGAGGCTCCGCCCCCAGTGCTGGCCTCCCGCCCAGGGCTTCTGCAGAATCTCAGAGCCCTAGGTGTTCCCAGATCGCGCATGCGTGGGAGGAAACCCCCCCACCCCTTACTCCTGCCTGCCGGGGCTCCCCTGGGCGCACAGTGATCCAAGCACTCCCGGTTCCTGGAAGTGCAGGGCGGCCAGCTTCCCGCCAGTCGCGGGATCCCTGTCTCTGGTCCCCTCCTGTCCCTCTCAGGCCAGGCCGGCCGGACCGCAGTGACTGGGGCGGGGCGGGGTCCCAGCTGCCTGGCTGGCTCCCCCCCCCCCCACTGCTCTCCTGGCTTCCCCAGCCCCCTCCCTACTTTCTGAATTTCCTTCTGCTCTCCCCTCCCCTCCCCCGGCCCCTGCGGAGAGAGAAACCCGCAGTGTGACGACTTGAGGCAGACAGAGACAGAAAAGCAACTCAGGGAGAGGGAGGGAGGGTCAGAGAGACAGGGAGATGGAGCCTGGGGGAGAGACAGGCGGGGATGCAGACAGACAGACACGGGGCGAGAGAGTCTGGGAGAGCCGCAGGGAAAGCAGCGGGCATCACAGTGACAAGGGGATGGGACGAGCTCAGAGGAAGGGTCCCCGGGGCCCCCCATGCCTATCCCTGTCCCCAGAGTCCGACTGCACCTGCCGGGCTCATGCACAGCCCCCTGTTCCCGGCCTCTGCCGTCCTGTGGCTTCAGCTCCATCCAAGCGCAGAGCGCAGAGGGCAGAGCAGACCTGGCGTCTCTGGTGTGTCCCCACCAGCCTCTGCCGTACCCAGCCAGGAACCCCTGGTGCCTCTACCGCACCCGCCCCACCCACAGCCCAGAGCTGGCGCTGCACCTTGCCTGCTCACAGCCCGCCCGTGGCTCCCTGCTGCCCAGCCTCTGAGCCTAACTGTGGACGGTAGGCAGCTTCCCTCAGCCGTCCCACAGCATACCCACGTACCCAAGCGTGGCACTGAACACTGCAGATGCACAAGAGTGTTTCAAAGGCGTGTGGAAACCAGGAACTAAAAGCTATGAAACAGGCCAGCGTTGTGACATAAGGGGTTAAGCCGCCACCTGCAACACTGGCATTCCACATGGGCACCGGTTCGAGTCCCGGCTGCTCCACTTCCGATCCAGCTCCCTGCTAATGGCCTGGGAAAGGCAGTGGAGGATGGCTCAAGTGTTTGAGTACCTGCATCCACGTGGGAGACCTGGAGAAAGCACCTGGCTCCTGGCTTGGGGCTGGCCCAGTCCTGGCTGTTGCAGCCATCTAAGGGGTGAGCCAGTAGATCGAAGGTCTCTCTCTCTCTTTCAAATAAGTAAATAAACCTTTAAAAATAAATAAGCCCCCCCTCCTCCCACCTTATACTCCCACCTCCTCGCTTCCCCCACATCCTGAACTTTCTGGACTGACCACATTTCTGGCCTTGGTTGCCTTGCGACCACGGCTAACTCCTCATTTGTCAGGATCACCTCCTCCACGAAGCCCTCCCTGACTCCCCGACTGGGTTGTGCATTCCATACTTGCATGTGGCTCCTTGTTTACACAGCTGTCTCCTCCACCAGATTGGCACCCCCCTCAAGGGCAGGGCCCAGGGCTGAGTCATCTCTGGGTGCCGGGCATCGTCTGGCCAGGAGCCCCACCCGTCCGAGCTCAGGAGATGGCCTCGCCGTGCCTTATCTCCCCTGCCCTTTGCTCCTCTGCCCTGGTCCCTGTGGACCACACCCGGAGGCTCCCGGGTGGTCTCGGGAGGCCACTGTGGGCCAGGTATCGCCCAAGTGGAGGGCTCTGCGAGAGGGGGCTGCCGCCCGCGGGGGTGCCCTGGCTTCCTCTGTCCTTGTTCTGCAATCCTTGTCTTGTCTGGGCTGCTCCAGCCTGGGCCATCTCTTCCTGCAAGGAATTTTGGGATATTGCACTCCTGGGTCTGGGGGAGGAGGCACTGGGGGCCTGGACCCTGTGCCTGAGAGAGGAGGTGCTGAGACCTGAACTCCTGGGTCTGAGGGAGGAGGCAATGGGGGCCTGGACAGCTGAGTCTGATGGAAAAGCCACTGGGGGCCTGGACCTTGTGTCAGAGAGGAGGGGCTGAGACCTGGACTCCTGGGTCTAAGGGAGGAGGCACTGGGGGCTGGACAGCTGAGTCTGATGGAAGAGCCACTGGGGGCCTGGACCCTCTGTCAGAGAGGAGGGGCTGAGACCTGGACTCCTGGGTCTGGGGGAGGAGGCACTGGGGCCCTGGACCCTGTGCCTGAGAGAGGAGGGGCTGAGACCTGAACTCCTGGGTCTGAGGGAGGAGGCAATGGGGGCTGGACAGCTGAGTCTGATGGAAAAGCCACTGGGGGTCTGGACCTTGTGTCAGAGAGGAGGGGCTGAGACCTGGACTCCTGGGTCTGGGGGAGGAGGCACTGGGGGCCTGGACCTTGTGTCAGAGAGGAGGGGCTGAGACCTGGACTCCTGGGTCTAAGGGAGGAGGCAATGGGGGCTGGACAGCTAAGTCTGATGGAAGAGGCACTGGAGCACCTGGGCTCATGGGTTTGTGGGCGAAGGGGCGGAAGGCCAGGTCTCCCAGATATGAGGAAGGAGAATGCTGGGGGTCTGGCCTTGGGGGTCTAAGGGAGGAGGCGTTGGAGGCCTGGGCCCCTGGGTCTGAGGGAGGGGGCTGAGAGCCTGGAGTTTACCGTCTTGGTCCCTCCTTCACACTCTGGTTTTAGAAACATCTGGTTTTATACAGCTGCTCCACCCAGGCAGGGTGAGGGCGTGGGGCTGGGCAGCCCAATGCCCAGCTCGTGGGCGGGGCCTGGGGTGCTCCCTCCTCCTGTCCTGGGCTCGCCTCTCCAAGGAGGATTCCCCCCAGCCTGACGCAGCAGACACCAGGGCGGCCAGGGCTCCGGCCTCTGCGTCAGACACCCAGGCCCCTCCTGCAACGGTGGGTGGCGGCGCCTGGCTCTGCTCAGCCTTTTACCTGACAGCTGGGCAGAGGCTGAGCCTGGAGCTGCCCCCCCACCCACCCGGGGGGAGGGAACCCGGAATGTGAGGACTTGGCTTCTGGCTGGCGGGGGGGGGGGGGACAGCCCCAGGGCAGGTCAGGAGACATAGGAAGGCTGAGACAGAAAAACAGAGAGAAACGGGAGGGGAGGATGGAGAAAGGCAAAGAGATAGTGCCCAGGGGACGGACAGACAGGACACACAGAGACAGACAGGCAGACAGACAGGTGCAAATACAAATACAAAGGGTAAGGAAGTCAGGGGTGCCAAGGGGCAGGCGTCTGGAGAGACAGACGCACATCCAGAGAGAAGCAGGTAGCGGGGGGGGGGGGGGCAGGGAGGGAGAGAGAGGAATGGAGGAGATCAGTCGCACATTCAGTTCGCAGACATGGAGAAAGACGCCATCAGACAATGAGATTTCTTAAAATCAAGGCAAGAGGAACTTGGTCTTTATCACAGCTCTGATCCTGAGGGGCTGGGGGCCCAGACATGCCAGCCCCTCCCCCTGGCCTCTCCCATCTCTTGGGCCTCAGTTTCCCCCACGGGCGGCCCACATCCGTCTGAGTTCACCCCCAGTCCTCAGGGAGAAAACCTCGGCTCCAGGCCTCTGTGCAGAGTGTGGCAGGTGCACACACACACACGCACACGCAGACCCGCGTCACTAGGGCACGGAACTGACACAGACATTCACTCAGAGCTCTGCTTCCAGGCAGCCGTACCTCACACGCCAGCGAACGCACAGTCACACCCTCAGGCACGCACATGTGTGCTTTTCACTCCATTTGCCAGGGGCTGAGACACATCCCCAGGGGGACCCAACCCAGAGGCAGATCCTGGGGACAGGAGGGGTGCAGCTGTGGGGAGGAGTTGGGCTGGGGACGGGGAAGGGAAGAAGGGGGAGGAGAGCTGAGGATGGGAGAGAGAGGGAGCTGGGGGGGGGGTGGAGAGAGGAATGCAGAAATTGGAAGAAACAGAGAGGGCAGGGAGAGGCGATGGAGAGGGAGAGAGAAGGCGGAATTCAGAGGAAGGAGAAGGAGGAGTGGGGGGAATACAGAGCCGGGGGTGGGGTGAGAGAGCGAGCAGGGGAACTTCCCAGAGCAGGGGGGCTGGAGGAGGAAGGGGGAGGACAGGCCAGGGGGGGCAGGGGAGAAGGAGAAGCCAGGATTGGGAGCAGCAGCAAGGCAGACCGAGCACTGGGAAGGGAGTCTGTCTGGTGAGGGGGTGGGAGGAATGGCGGGAAGTGGGTGGAGCTGCCTGGCTCCGCTGTGACCTCAGAGCCCCTGGCCCAGCTTAGCCTGACATCAGCCCCTGCTCCCACACCCGCCTGCGCTTGGTCTTCAAATGCCCCCCCTCTGGCTCTCTGGCCACAGAGAGACTGGGAGAGCACGCCGGAGAGGAGAGGAGAGGAGAGAGCAGCTGGACCTGCGGCGATGACACAGGTGCGTGTGTGCGAGGGAGCGAGTGATGGCTGCCACGTTGTGACCATGGGGGGATCCGTCAGAGTGTGAGTGTACCCCGGGTGTGCGGGCGAGTTTCCCCAGTGCACTCTTGTGCAGCGCCATGCGTGGGAGCTGTCCCATGGCCTGACATGTGACACGGACCTGTTTAGTACATGCTAACCTGTCTCTAGATCTGTGGGTGCTGGCGTTCCCTGGGAGAGGGAGAGACAGAGAGAAAAAGAGTGAGCAAGAGGGAGAGAGGGAGAGAGGAAGAGAGGGAGAGAGGAGAGCCGTCTGCCTGTGACATGGGAGTCCGGGTTTCTGTATTCAAGTGGATCTGAATGAAATCAGCTACTCTTGATCAATGAACGGGGCAATTTCCTGGCCTTCAATCTCGTCTTAGCTGATCGTTTTTTTCCCCTGAAACTTCTCCTTGTCTGAGCCTTGGTCTCAGCCCCACAGTGGGTGCTTGTCGCCACACGGGCACCTCTGTGCCGCCACTTCCTGCTGACAGGCGTGTGGCTGCCGGTTCGCCCCGGTGTGGCCCTTGGCAGGGGTCCCGGGATCGCTGTGTTGAGCCCAGGTGTGTGTGTCGTTGGGGGTTGTCCCATAGAGGGCGCTTCATTCTGCATGTCACCATGCATGAGCACATGTGTGTGTGGGGGTTCCACTCACGTGTTCATCCGTGTCTCTGGAATCATGACCCTCCGGGTCCCTGCCTGGCTCTCTGACCCCTGATATGAATTAGGCTATCCTGGGGAACACGGGAGGAGCCAGGTTTTGAGGCAAAGTAGTAAGGAAGGAAGATTCTAGAAGGAAAAATACTGAGGGTTACTATGGAGCCATTAAGTGTCTGTAAGAAGCAGAATGTGAGCCCCGATGTGGGGGCACTCCTGAAGGTCCGTGGAGAAATGGAATTAAAAGATGAGTGTGGTGCTGGGGGTTGGGCGGTACTGCTCAGACACCCACGTCCGTATGCTGTCTGCCCTCGGCTCCTGACCCCAGCTTCCCGCTGGCGCCGTCCCTGGGAGGCAGAGTGGAAGTTAAACTGTTTGGGTCCCTGCCACCCATGTGGGAGCCCTGGCTTGTGTTCCCGCCTCGCAGGCACCCTTGGCTGTTAGCAACACTTGGGAAGTGGCCCTGTGGCTGGGACCTCCACTGCTTAAAATAAAAATGCTAGGCCGGCACCTTGGCTCACTAGGCTAATCCTCCGCCTGTGGCGGCAGCACCCTGGGTTCTAGTCCTGGTTGGGGCGCCGGGTTCTGTCCCAGTTGCTCCTCTTCCAGTCCAGCTCTCTGCTGTGGCCCGGGAAGGCAGTGGAGGATGGCCCAAGTGCTTGGGTCCTGCACCCGCATGGGAGGCCAGGAGGAGGCGCCTGGCTCCTGGGTTTGGATTGGCATAGTGCACCGGCTGTAGCGGCCATTTGGGAGGTAAACCAACGGAAGGAAGACCTTTCTGTTCTCTCTCTCACTAACTCTGCCTTTCAAAAAAAAATAAACAAATAAAAATAAAAAAATAAAAATGCTAAAACATATATTTACAATAATGAAAAATTCTTTAAAATGTGTTTTTTAAAAAGCCCTTTATTTTGGTGCAAAAAATTGAAATCCATGCATAGTTTTCTCATAACTCACATTTAAATGAGCTTTTTGAGAATCACTTCCTATGACTGCAAATTTTCTCGTAGTCATACATGTTGTCATGTAGCATCAGCCATAAACATGTATAAATCAATATTTATTTATTTATTTATTTAAAGACAGAGTTACAGAGAGGCAGAGGCAGAGCCAGACAGATAGAAGTCTTCCATCCGCTGGTTCACTCCCCAGATGGCCACAACGGCCAGGGCTGCGCTGATCCAATGCCAGGAGCCAGGAGCTTCTTCCAGGTCTCCCGCATGGGTGCAGGGACCCAAGGACTTGGGCCATCTTCCACTGCTATCCCAGGCCATAGCAGAGAGCTGGATCGGAAGTGGAGCAGCTGGGACTAGAACCAGCGTCCATATATAGCTGGCACTGCAGGTGGCAGCTTTACCCCCTGTGCCACAGCGCCAATCCCAGGGCACTAAAATTTTATTTTCATCTACCACGAAAAATTAGTCCTCTTATGACTTTTTAAATTTTAAAATGTATTTATTTTTACTAATTTTAAAGGCAGAGAGACAAAGCCAGGCACACACAGAGAGAGAGTCTCCGTGGTTCACCACCGCAAATGCCAACAACAACCAGGGCAGGGCCAGACTGAAGCCAGGAGCCTAGAACTCCTCTGGGTCGCCTGTGGGCAGCAGGGACCCAAGTATCGGAGCCACCACCCCGGATTCCCAGGACACACAGCAGCAGGAGGCTCGCATCAGGAGCAGAGACAGGAGTTGAGTCCACACACTCCCACGTGGGAGTGCTCCAGGCAGCGGCTTCCCCACTGTCCACTTTCTTTTGACTTAAAAGTTTGTAAAAACAGAAAGAAAAAAGAAAAGCAAAATCTAAGTTGGCAGGCTTTAGCAGTCCTTAGCATGCCAACCTGTGCTCTCAATTAAAAAAAAAAAACTTCAATATATAATCAATACAAAGTGACTAATGGGATATGTTACTTGCTTTTCCTAATTCACACTTTTCCTAATTCACACATTTCCTAATTCACACTTATTTATCACACATCTTGGTCCACTGTGACATCTTCATTGGGAATATTTGATCTGGATTTAGATTTAGTAAAATTGTAGTTGAAAAAGCATCATGTGTGTGCAACTTGTTGCAAACTCCAATAGCTGAATGGGGCACCAGTTTCTAAATTCAGATTACTAGGAACAGGGACTTGGCACAGGGGCTAAGACTCGGCTCAGGAAGCCCACATCCCCGGCTGAGTGCTGGGGGGGAGGGGGTGGGGGGTCCTGACTCCTCTTCTGACTCCAGCTTCCTGCTACTGCCTATGCTGGGAGGCAGCACAGATGTCTCCAGTCGTCTCAGCCCCTGTCATCCACACGGGAGACCCCGATGGAGTTTGGGGCTCCTGGCTTTGACCTGTCCCAGCCCAGCTGTTGCAGGCATTTGGGGAGTGAACCAGTGGATGGAAGACAGCTCTCTGTCTCTGTCTCTCAACTGAAATTAACAATAAAAAAATTTAAATGAGTTAAAATCAAAGTTTGTTAAGGGTTTATTTATTTGACAGGCAGAGTTAGACAGTGAGAGAGAGAGAGAGAGAGAGAGGTCTTCCTTCCGTTGGTTCACGCCCCAAATGGCCGCTATGGCCGGAGCTACAGCGATCGGAAGCCAGGAGCCAGGTGCTTCTTCCAGGTCGCCCATGCGGGTGCAGGCGCCCAAGCACTTGGGCCATCCTCCACTGCCTTCCTGGGCCACAGCAGAGAGCTGGACTGGAAAAGGAGCAACCAGGACTAGAACCCGGTGCCCAAATGGGATGCCGGCACCGCAGGTGGAGAATTAACCAAGTGAGCCATGGCGCTGGCCCCCAAATCAAAGTTTTTTTTTTTAAAATCAGTTGCTCAGTCATTTCGGGCTGCGTAGCCACATGTGGGTGATGCCAGCCTTGGACATCAAAGGTCCACATCTGAGTGACTGCTTCACCCTACAAAACGCCCAGGAGGCAGGAACTGGTGGCACAGGGGGCAGCTCAGCTAGCAGGGGGCAGGAGGGCCGGGAGCCCTAATTCCCGTAGGGGTACCTCGGGGCACCAGCTTCCTCATCTGCACCTGGAGATGGGAACAGTGCCTTCCTCACAGGGTGGCGTCTGGCAGGTGAACGGTGCTAACCACCCACTGGACAGATGAAAACCGCAAGGCACCCTTCCCCTCCCACCCAGGGTCCTTCCAGCAACACAGAGTGGGCACCTGGCCCTGCTGGAGGCAGGGTAGTGGAGAGGGTGAACCAGGCCAGGCCTCTGGGGAGTCAGAGAGGGGCCTCCTCCGCCCGGGAGCCGCTCTTCCTGAGCCAGCCACACCTCCTGTCTCACCTCCTCCCTGAGGGACAAAGTCCGTTATCTAAGGCTGCGGTTCAGCGGCTGGACGCAAGGTCCAAATCTGGGTTCCGGGTGGGACCTGAGCAGCTTGCGGCCTCTCTGTGTGACTCAGTTGTCCCACCTGTAAAATGGGGGTAATAATAATAATCCAAGTCCCTCCCTCCTAGATGCTGCCAGGTTAAAACGAGTTCATATAAAAGGCTTGGGACAGAGCCCGGGCCAAGTTCCTCAGCTGCTGTTTGTCAGATCAACCCTTATTCTGTGCGTCACCGAGGAGCAGGGTGGGAACCCCTTGCTGATTAACCCGTGATGCTCCGTTGTGGGTGAATTTTGCGGGGAAAGTCGTTTGCATGAGACGGGATAAGATCAGCCATGGAACGCAGCTCCCTGCCACTATTAGAGGCGAATCTAGCAATGAAACCAACGTTTGTCCCGAAAGGAGACGTTACTGGGCGGCGGCCGGGTGGGGGAACCCAGGAGGTCTTCTCGGAAGAGGCGCTCAGAATTCCCCCTCCCTTCTCTGCGCCCCCCTGCAGGACGCGCCCAAGCCCATCCCTGCAGTGCGCCGTTGCTCCGGCCTGGCCCGGCGGGTGCTGACCGTGGCCTTCGCTCTCCTCATCCTGGGGCTCATGACCTGGGCCTACGCGGCCGGCGTGCCGCTAGCCTCCGATCGCCACGGGCTCCTGGCCTTCGGCCTCTACGGGGCCTTCCTGTCGGCACACCTGGTGGCGCAGAGCCTCTTCGCGTACCTGGAGCATCGGCGTGTGGCGGCGGCGGCGCGGCGCGCGGCGGCGCGGGGTCCCCCGGACGCAGCCACGGCCCGCAGCGTGGCGCTGACCATCTCGGCGTACCAGGAGGACCCCGCGTACCTGCGCCAGTGCCTGGTGTCGGCCCGCGCGCTGCTGTACCCACGCGCGCGGCTGCGCGTGCTCATGGTGGTGGACGGCAACCGTGCCGAGGACCTCTACATGGTCGACATGTTCCGGGAAGTCTTCGCCGATGAGGACCCCGCCACCTACGTGTGGGACGGCAACTACCACCAGCCCTGGGAGCCTGCAGCCGCGGGCGCGCTGGGCGCCGGCGCCTACCGGGAGGTGGAGGCGGAGGACCCCGGGCGGCTGGCGGTGGAGGCGCTGGTGAGGACGCGCAGGTGCGTGTGCGTGGCGCAGCGCTGGGGCGGCAAACGCGAGGTCATGTACACGGCCTTCAAGGCCCTGGGCGACTCGGTGGACTACGTGCAGGTGAGTGGATTTCTTTCCCGCCCTCGTTCTTGCGCGCACGCGGCGATTGGCCGCGCACCCGGTAGAGGGCAGTCGCTCGTGCGCCCCAGGTAGAGCCGGGTCTCCCTTGTCCGCCCGTCCGCTGTCATCTTTCCGTTCATTCCATAGGGAGAGTCACTGGCTCACGCGTTCCGCCATCCACTGGCTCATTCCCCTTTCTGTCCTCTCTGCTTCCCTTCGCCGGTTCACCCGCCCATCCACCCACTCACCCAGCCGCGCAGTGCCTCATGTATCCACTGGGGCAGAGCTGTGTCCCTTCCCTCTCTCCTCCCTCTCTCCCTTCTTGGCTTCCATCTTCGGCTCATCCGCGTCCCACCTTTCCAGAATAGAGTTTCTTTTATTCCGTTAGTCACTCATTCACCCGCTGGGAGTTGAGATTCATTTAGTTACAAGTGACGTTAGTTTTCTGTAGCTGCATAGCAAATGGCCACACCCTTGGCAGTTTTGAAACAAAACTCACCGATCTCACAGTTTGCCAGTGTCTTGGGGGCCCTCTGATAAGTGTATTCCCAAGCTGTGTCTTCCTCTTGCAAACCCGTTCATTGTTTTAAAAAGATTATTTAACCTGAAAGGCAGAGCTATGGAGACAGAGGGGTTTTCCATCTTCTGCTTCACTCCCCAGAGGGCTGCAACAGCCAGGGCTGGGCCAGACGGAAGCCAGGGGCTTCTTCCGGGTCTTCCATGTGGGTGCAGGGGCCCAAACACTTGGGCCATCTTCCCCTGCTTTCCCAGGAGCATGAGCAGGGAGCTGGATTGGAAGTGGAGCAGGTGGGACTTGAACCTGAGCCCATGTGGGAGGCCAGAGCTGCAGGCGGTGGTTCATCCTGCTGCCCACAGCGCCAGTCTCCCGCACAGTTTACTTTCTGCAGCCACTGAACTTGTGCCAAGGCTAGCAAGAGGAGCATGTGTGTCCTCTTTGCAAGGGCTTGTGGGATTGGGTGAGGCCTGCCCAGGACGACCTCTGAGCAACTTAGAGCCAACAGATCGGGGGCTTTAACAACACTGCAAAACACCTGCACCGTGTCCACCTGGGGCAGTGCAACCGCTGTGGCCGCAGCCGGTCAAACTCGCCACATTCTCTGGGTTAGAATCGAGTGACAGGTCTCACCCACACACCGTAGGAAGGTATTAAAGGAGGGCAGGGGTCTTGGACCCCATCTGAAAATGTCATCAGACCTTGAAAGTGACTTCAGAAATTCCAAACGACGTCCTGGTTGGCTGCTCTCATCCCCCCACCAGCGCCCCACCCCCAGGCGTCTCCCCTGAGTGTGTGTGTGGGGGGGGGTCTGGCCTGACCTCGGCCCCTTCCAACTCCCAGGTGTGTGACTCGGACACTCGGCTGGACCCCATGGCTCTGCTGGAGCTGGTGCGTGTGCTGGACGAGGACCCCCGGGTAGGGGCTGTCGGGGGAGATGTGCGTATCCTTAACCCCCTGGACTCCTGGGTCAGCTTCCTGAGCAGCCTGCGGTACTGGGTGGCCTTCAACGTGGAGCGGGCTTGTCAGAGCTATTTCCACTGTGTATCCTGCATCAGCGGGCCCCTGGGTGAGCGGGCCGGGGAGCTGGAGGGGTGGAGGGCGTGGGGGGAAGAGGCTGGGGTAAGGGTGGAGGGTGGTGGGATGTGGATGCAGCTTGAGGCTGGGGTAGGATGGGGCCAGGGTCGGGGCCGGAGCTGGGTTTGGGGATGGGGCTGAAAATAGATAGGAGCTCAGGAGGTGAAACTGGGGTGGCCTGGTGGTCATAGTGGGTGTGGCTCAGGGACAGTCAAGGTGGGATGGGGTTGGGGTTGAAGACGCCCTGGGGCTGAGATCTGGATTTCGATGATTGAGGACAGAGTAGGGGCTGGCGCTGGGGACCTTGTGGGTGGCAGCTGAGGCTGATGGCCCTGCACTGCCGTCTGCACCTAGGCCTGTACCGGAACAACCTCCTGCAGCAGTTCCTCGAGGCTTGGTACAACCAGAAGTTCCTGGGCACCCACTGCACTTTTGGGGACGACCGGCACCTCACCAATCGCATGCTCAGCATGGGCTATGCTACCAAGTAAGCTCAAGGGGTCAGGGCCGGGGCCAGGGTCAGGGGTCAGGGGCCAGTGGTCAGGGGTCAGGCGCCAGGGTGTGTGTGTGAGAGAGAGAGGTCTCCAAATTCAAAAGAAATCACAGGACAATGGGCCGTACCAAGTGAGACCTTATAGGACTTGAGCGAAGGGGTGATACGGGACACCCCCCCCACCCCGTCCCCGGCAGCTATTCTGAACACAGACCACAGGAGGCGAGGGGAGAGGATGCCCAGTCACTCAGGAAGGAGGCTGGACACTGCCAAGTAGTGTCTTCGGGGAGAGGACACTCTGACCGCTGGCCAGATGGCTTTGCACAAAGGGGGTGCTGGAAATGGCGCGGGATTGATTAGTGATGTCTGCCACAGCCCCAGCAAGGGCACCAATGGTCCCAGCCAGGAACTAGGCTAGGTCCTGTGTCTCAATGCAGAGTGTTACTAATACGTTAGCGCTAGCATTAGTAATGGCGTGGACGACCACAGCCCCCTGAGTAATGACCCTGGGCGTGAGTCACCGTGCAAAGAGCTGGCAGCTAGCACCACCGCGCAAGGAGTGCACGCTGGTCCTCGGCGACTGGCGCTTCCCTGTCCTGGGCGTCCCCCAGCGCGCTGCGGGTCCCCGCCGCCATGCACACCGCCCCCCTCTCCGTCTCGCCCCCGTGCGCAGGTACACGTCGCGGTCCCGCTGCTACTCGGAGACGCCCTCTTCTTTCCTGCGCTGGCTGAGCCAGCAGACGCGCTGGTCCAAGTCCTACTTCCGCGAGTGGCTGTACAACGCGCTCTGGTGGCACCGGCACCACGCCTGGATGACCTACGAGGCGGTGGTCTCGGGCCTCTTCCCCTTCTTCGTGGCGGCCACCGTGCTGCGGCTCTTCTACGCCGGCCGCCCCTGGGCGCTGCTCTGGGTGCTGCTGTGCGTGCAGGGCGTGGCGCTGGCCAAGGCGGCCTTCGCGGCCTGGCTGCGCGGCTGCGTGCGCATGGTGCTGCTCTCGCTCTACGCGCCCCTCTACATGGGCGGCCTCCTGCCCGCCAAGTTCCTGGCGCTGCTCACCATGAACCAGAGCGGCTGGGGCACGTCGGGCCGCCGCCAGCTGGCCGCCAACTACCTGCCGCTGCTGCCGCTGGCGCTCTGGGCGCTGCTGCTACTCGGCGGCCTGGCGCGCAGCGTGGCGCACGAGGCCGCGGCCGACTGGAGCGCGCCCTCGCGGGCGGCCGAGGCGCGCCACCTCGCGGCCGGCGCCGGCGCCTACGTGGCCTACTGGGTGGTGATGCTGACCCTCTACTGGGTGGGCGTGCGCAGGCTGTGCCGGCGGCGGTCGGGGGGCTACCGCGTGCAGGTGTGAGGCCCGCCGAGCAGCCGGGCGGGGATTCTCTGGACCTCATTCCCACCCCCCAACCCTCTGTGAAGTCAGGGGGGTGGGCGGCGACACCAGACTCCGCAGGCTGGACTGAGCTGGGGCTGGGACTTCTGGGTATTTATTGATCAGGTGTGTAGGGGCAGGGGGAGGGGGAAGGGCCTCGCTCTCTCCCCGGTCTTATTTGATCTCTTCTTTGTACTGTGTGTTTAGGACATTAATAAAGAATTTTATTTATTTTCTGCCAAGCCCTCCTTGTCCCCGACTTTTTTTTTTTTTTTTTTTTTTTTTTTAGAACTGAGGTGGTATCATTGAGAACTGGAGACTTGGGGCTCAGTCTCGGGTGCTGGCTGCTGGGACCTGGACAGGGGACAGGGGTTACCTTTTTGGAAAACAGAGACACTGATGCCATGGGTGCAGGCCCTCTGACGAGGGTTACTCATTCAGACACCAAGAGGCACCTGCTCTCTGCGTGGCCCTGGGGACCCTGCTGTCCCCCGGCTCCATCCACTGGGGCACCCTCCAAGGGAGTGGGCTCCAGCCTTCCCTCAAACACTCACTCCTAGCTAGCTTCCTCTCTCACTGAGAAAATGAGTTTCCCCAAGCCCATCTTCCCACTCGCTTGCCTCTGTGCCCACACACACCACCGCCACGTCCTGTTCCCAGACTGAGCTGGTCTGTACTGCTAGCCAGGTCCAGCCTGTCCCCCAGGGCACCAGCCCCATGGCCTTTAGGCCATGCAGAGACATCACCAGGCAGTTCTTCCCCCAGTCCTCCATCAATGCTTCTCGCCCATGGGCACCCAAACGTGCTGCTGCTCTCCCACCTCTGTGACTGTATCCCCCGGGGCCACTTCTCTTCCTACTCACAGCAAGGCTCCCCAAGAACTGTGTGTCCATGTTCTCTGCCACTCAAAGTGCTCAGCTAAATGGTTCTCAGGAAGGCTGGAGATTCGTGCAGCCATATCTCCGTCATCTTGGGGCTTCCAGCACCCCCAGAAAGGAACTCCCTACCCACCGATGGGCACTCCTCATCCTGGCATTTCTCCAGAACCTAGGCGGCCACGTACCTGCTGTCTCTCTAGCTTTACCGATGGCAAGAGTTCACAGAAATGGAGCCACCTGATGTGTCTGTGGCTGAATGGGGGCACTATGCCATTGGATGTCACCCGTGGCTAAGTGATAGTCCACATATGGATGTATCAGTGTTTGTCCACTTACCAGGCAGTGGCCGTTTGGGATGGTCCCTCTTTTTGGCCATTAATGAAGGTGCAAGTGTGAACATTCGTGTGCAAGGCTTTGTGTGCACACAGGTTCTTCATTTTCCTGGGATTAAACCTGGGGGTGCATTGCTGGGTCTCTCGGGTATTTTGTTTTCTGGAGGAACCGCTGGACTGTCTTCCACACGTGGCTGCACCATTTTGCATTCCCGCCAGCAATGGATGAAGGTTCCAATTTCTCCACGCTTGGTATTAACTGACACTTGGACTTCAGCCATCCTAACTGCTGTGACAGGTATCTCGCTGGTTTTGATTTGCATTTTCATAAAGAACTCGGGAGACTGATTTTCATTGACTTGTTTTTTAAAAAATATTTATTTATTTGAAGAAGGGAGAGAGAGAGGAAAGGGAGGGAGGGAGGGAGGGAGAGAGAGAAAATCTTCTGTCTGCTGGTTCACTTGGCTGGGGCTGGTGCAGGCCAAAGCCAGGAGCCCAGAGCTCCAACTGGGTCTTCCACATAGGTGGCAGAGCCCAGACACTTGGCCCGTCCTCTGCTGCCATCCCTGGCACAGTAGCCAGGAGCTGGGTAGGAGGCAGAGCAGCCAGGACTTGGACCGGTGCTCCAACATGGGATGCTGAGTTTGCCAGCTATGCCACATGCCAGGTCCTCCCCTTGGCTCCTACACCTATGCCAATCCCATGGTTGCACTCCCCCACCACCACCACCACTATGGTCACAATGATAGGGTTAGGGTTAGGGTCACTGAAACGAACCAGCACCTCTCAGGCCCTCCGGTCCGTGACTCAGCAGTGCGGGACCGTGCAGTCCCTTTCTCTTTCATAAGCTTCCTTCCTTCAGCTTTCAGAATGCCCGAGGGGTTGCTTTCTGCCTACCCCGGCTTTTTGTCCCGGTTCCTCTCCCTGAGGCTTCTCACCACTGGAGAACTCTCCTCCCACCTTCCCGGCTCCCCGTGTCACCTGTGCACCCAGTGTTGGGGCTCCATGGAGACGGGACTCCCACCCTTGCACATCCCAATACTTCCGGACATGTTCCCTTGGACACACTCCTCATCGCTCCTTCCCCAGTCCCTGTGAGCCCTGCCCCTCTAACCGGCCCCCTATCTCAGTAAACACAGGTGCATCCCCCAAGCTGCTCAGCTCAAGAATGTTACAGTGTGACTGTCCATGAGGGCAGCCACCACCACGTGGGAGTATTTCATTCATTCATTCATTCATTCAGCCAATCATGTGCCAAGCACCTGCAACATTGTTTCCAGGCCAAACTGTGACCGAGTTAGGAAGACCCCAATGTGTGCTTCCACAACCGCTGGTGGCACAGAGCAGCAGCTATTTCAATGCTGACTGGTTGTAACTACCCAAGATTATCAGTTCAGACCCTCGGCTGCTCTGAGCACCTGTCGTGGGCTTCAAGGCCACGTGCGACTGGCATGGCCAGCGGGGACAGGCTCAGCACACCTGCACGGGGCATGCTTCTCAACCTTGTCCTGTGTGTGTCTTCTTCTGTCTATTCAACCAGTGCCTTTAGAAAAAGCTTTTATGATCCACCAGAACATGTAAGCAAGTGTTGCCAAGTGACATGAGTCACCGCTGTGAGAACCCCCGACTTTGGAACTATGTCAGAGAGACATGCGGGTGCCCTTGGAACCCACTACTGGGTACCGCAGCTGGTGTGAGGCCCCCAGACCTGTGGATTTGACACTGACCCCGGGTGGTTGGTTTCAGAGTTAAATTGAATATAGGACACTCGGTTGGTGTCTGGACAGCTGTTAAATCAGTTCATGGCGGGGGAAGGAGGGGACCTCCCACACTTGGAGCCAGCAGTGCTCCTGTGCCGTCCACTAGAATCTAACAGGCGTGATGGTACCATTTTCTGTATAATCTGACTTCTGTTACAGCACCTGGAAATGCCTGGTGGGGCCAGTGCTGTGGCACAGCAGGTTAAAGCCCTGGCTGTGGCGCTGGCATCCCATATGGGTGCCAGTTCAAGTCTCCGCTTCTCCACTTCTGATCCAGCTCTCTGCTATGGCCTGGGAAAGCAGTAGAGGATGGTCCAAGTCCTTGGGCCCCTGCACCCACGTGGGAGACCAGGAAGAAGCTCCTGGCTCCTGGCTTCAGATTGGCTCAGCTCCAGCCATTGCAGCTGTTTGGGGAGTGAACCAGCAGATGGAAGACCTCTCTGTCTCTACCTCTCTGCACCTCTATCTTTCAAATAAATAAAATAAATCTTAAAAACACACACACAGACACACACACACAGAGAAAGAAAATGCCTGGCAGGGCTGGCGCTGTGGTGCAGCAGGTTAAGCCCTGCCTGCAGTCCCAGCATCGCATACGGGCACTGGTTGGAGTCCCACCTGCTCCACTTCCAATCCAGCCCTTTGCTAATGTGCCTGGGAAAGCAGCAGAAGATGGCCTAAGTGCTTGGGGCTCTGCTACCCATGTGGGAGACCTGGATGGAGCTCCTGGCTCCTGACTTCAACCTGGCCCAGCCCTGGGTTTGTTGCAGCCATCTGGGGAGTAACCCAGTGGGTCAAATCTCTTTCTCTCTCATTAAGTCTCTCCATAACTCTGCCTTTCAAATAATCTTTTTTAAAAAATGCCTGGCACACACTAAGTGCTCGAAAAATATTCTGTGAATGAACACATCGCCGAAGGGGGCGGCGTCAGCCTACAGGAGTGAGCAGATGCAGGAGGCGCTCCCCCTTTTAGGCAGGGAAGACAAGAAGCAAACAAACACCCAGTGGACAGTGGGTCTGGACAGAGCCTCACAAACAGGCCAAAAGGGGGTCAAACACTCACAAGCCCAGAAGGCCACAGGTGAGCTGTGACCTGGGCAAGGAGAGGAAGGTGGGTCCTTGAAGTTGAAGTTTAGAGCAGAGGGGAATGGCGCTGAGGTTTGCATGATAAAGAACCAAAAAAAAAAAAAAAAAAAAGGAGGAGGGGCATCGAAGTAGCCAGGAGATGAGGCCAAGGGAATAAACACAGGGCTGGCCTCCGGAGTCGTTATGGGGATTAACTGGGTTAATGAATTGTGATGGCTGCTCCAGGGAGTTCATCATTGAATTAATATATATATATACATATATATAAAATCCTAGGCAGGAAACTGTATCTGTCGGGACCCTGGAGAGAGAGCGCGATCCGGAGGAACCCCAAGGTGGAAAGGTCAGAGGCGACAGGGGCACTGACCGAGGCCAGGGAGCTCAGCACCGCTCAGGACTCACAGGGCCCCGAAGGCTGCGGCAAGGAACCCGATTCGGTTCCAGCGGTCACAGGGAGCCGCTGGAGGACGTGAGGCCGCGCCGCGCCCCGCCACAAGGGAGAGAGCGCTCCCGCCGCACTGCGCAGACCGGCCTGCAGTGGGAGGCGGCCAGCCGAGGGGCTGCCACGGGGAGCCTGCGCAGAGCTGGCCGCGGCTGGGCCCCGAGGGAGGGAGGGCGGCCGCATCGCAAGGGCTCGGCTTGGTGGAGCAGGAGGAATTAACCAGGACTCTGGTTGCTCCTGCTGGCAGGCGGGTCTTGGGGCGCCGCCTGACTCCCGCCCCCAGCCCCCGCCCAGCCACCACCTCCAGAGAAAGGAATCTGGAGCTAAAACATATCCTTTATTGGGGGGGGGGGGGGCAGAAACAGAGACCTTTGTCAGCTGCCACTTAGGTACCACCGAATGAACACCCTGGGGAAACAAGCGGCAGGTGTGCGCGTTGGAGGGGGTGCGCGGGGGCCCGGAGCCCAGGGCGGCCGACCCCGGGAACTCACCACGCCAGCAGGGTCGCGCTCGCGGCCGCCACGGCCGCCACGGCCGCGAGCAGGCACAGGTTGCTCGGGGTCAGGGCCTCGGGCCTGGCCAGCAGCTCGCCCAGGCTGGGCGCCAAGGGCTCCAGCAGCTCGGCGTCCCGCGGGGCCCAGCGCAGCACCTCCCGGAACGCGACCTGCAGCTCGGTCTCGGCGCGCGGGGGCGGGCCGGTCACTGCACCGGGGAGGTGGGGTGGGGCGGTGCGCGCGTCAGCCGGGGCCGAGCCCCGCGCGCCGCCCGGCCCCGGCCCCGGCCCGCAGCGCGCCCGCACCATTGAGGAAGAAGTAGAGCCGCGCCAGCAGGCGCTGGTCTTGCTTAATCACGCAGGAGAAGGTCCCGCTGTGCTTGGACTGCACCGGTCGGATCCGCGCCAGGTACCCGTGCGCCCCCGGCACGTCTCGGAAGTAGTTCACGTCCTGAGTGCGGAGCTGCGGGACCGTGGGGCGCCCGTCCTCGCCGGGTACAGACAGCTCCGCCCCCAGGGCGTTGACCCTGCCCCCAGCCCGAAGAAAATCCCTTCCCCTCGCTCCATAAACCCTGCATCCCCCTGAGCTCTCACGAAGCCTGAATCCAAACCGAGCGCCCCGCAGGTGCCATCACCTGCCGTGGCCAGACCCTCCCCGCAGCCGGCCCCGCCCCGACTCACACCTTCCGCGAACTTCCAGGAGTAGGCGATCTCCTCCTGGGGCAGCTGATAGTTCACGACGCAAGGGAACATGGCCTGATCCCCGCGAGGCACCATCACGTCCCGAACTGAGGACCGGCCCCGGGTCACGCCCAGGCCCCGCCCCCAGACCCGGACCCCGCCCCGGGCCACGCCCTCCCGGGGGCTCGCACCTGGGCAGTCCAGGGGGAGGTCGCAATCCCGCGAGTAGCACCCGCGGCAGCGGAAAAGCCGGGCGAAGTCCTGGAGGCCTGCGGAGCGGCCCCGCTGCGTGTCCCCTGCCTGGCCTAGCCCGCGGCCCTGCGGTCACGTCGGCCAGGTAGCCGCTCCGCACTCCTGTGGGCTCGCCTCCCACAAGTTTCCGTGCGCTTTCTCCCCCGGGGCCCTGAACCCCACCCGCGCTCTCCCAGCTGCTGTCCCAGGTTCCTGCCCCCGACCGCCTCCCTTCCGTGCGATCCCGGGCTTAGGATTCCATCCTTACCGCACGGAGGGATGCAGGCCTGGGCTGGGGGGAGGGGAGGGGGGAGAGGGCACGCGTGACTCATCTGCGGGGCGCAACAGGGTCCCCACCTGAGCCCCGTGGAGGATGCAGGTAGGCCGGGTGCACCCCTCGCAGGGTCAGCCCTCGGTGGCCCGGGGAGGAGGGGCTAGACCCTAGGCGGCCCAGGTAGGGAGAAGGCGTGGCCAGGTGCCACGTGGTCCACTAAAGGAGCGCGCAGGCCCGGCGGACCCCGACACCCAGGGCGAGGCCTGAGCGAGTCAGTCGGGAGCATCTCAAGTGGGGCTCCCGAAGGCGGGGAACCCTTCACCGCAGGGGCAGGTGCCACGCAGTCCACACTCGCCCACCAAGGATCTCGGATGGAATTAGAGGTGCGGGGAGCAGCCGTGGGGTTTTCTCATGTGTGTGTGTGTGCGCGCGTGTGTGGGCAGAGGCGGCGTGTGCCTTACCTTGTTTAAGCTGTAAAATGGCATTTTTCATTTTCCTAGCTGCACCAGCAAAGCCAATCCTGTAAGAGCCTGGAGGGAGGAGGGGGCCCCTGTGGTCAGGGCTCAGCGCCAGCATCCGTGCCCAGTCCCCAGGCCCTCTCCTCCGGGAGTGTCTCCTCCCCTCCCACCACTCTGTGTACACTGAGGGCTGCCAAGCCCCCCAGTCTCCAGTCTCTCTGACACAAAGCCTTCCCAGCATCTATCCAGTTGGGGAACCAGGAGTCCCTCCCCAAGGCCAGGCAGCCCTACCTGTGTGTGACCTAGCTCCCCCCTCCCCCGCCGGGGGGCTCCAGCCCTACTGCCCACCTTCTATTCCCTTAATACGCCAAGACCCACATTCCCGAAGGTCGGTGCACCTGCTGGCTTCCAGTTCTCCACATCTTTCCCCTGGCTCATCCTGAGGTGTGACACCTCGAGTCTCTCCCACCGCCACAGACATAACCAGGCCCCCTGTATCACTCACAGGCCTCCGTCCTCTCATGGCTCCTGCCAGTCCATAACTGCATGTATCTATATACGCGGAAACCGCCCGGGTCTGTGTCATGAGTGTGTCCTTTGCTCAGGGCTATCGGCCTCAGAATCCAGGAGGCGGCCCCGAGGCTTCTTAAAAAGCACCCAGCGGGGCCAGCGCCTTGGCTCACTTGGTTAATCCTCCACCTGCGGCGCCGGCAACCCACACCCTACGTCGGAGTCCTGCGCTTCAGACCCACTTCCGGACCGCAGCTGCAGACCCTGGCGGCAGCAGCTATGGCTTAAGAGACTGGGAGTCTCTCTCTCTCTCTCTCTGCCAGTTTAAAAAAAAAAAAATGAAATTCAGCCCCCGGATGTGTTGTATTTGGCCTGGAAAGTCCGATGAACTTGTTGCCAACATTTAACATTTGGGAAACTCACAGAAAATGTTTGGTATCTCTTTTAAAAAAATTGGAAGAGCTGTCACACAGAGACCACATTAGCACGAGGCAGTAATTAGCTGGGACTTAGTAACAGCCACGCCCTTTAAATAGGACCGGCTCCCATCATCCGCCGGCCGCAGCCCCCAGCCCCTCCGCGCTCCCACGTTCTGTCACTGCCGTCGCAGCCGTGACCATCGTAATGGCCTCCGGACAGTTAAGGGTCCGTGGCTTTTTCCAGCAGAGGAAGTGGACTTCTGGGTGGAAGTCATGGCGGAGGTGGTTTTGGAAATCAGGGAGGTGGTGGGCTGAACGGCGCCCCCACCACACACACACACACACACACACACGCACACACGCCGGGGGCCCCCGTCCTCAGCATGTGTGTATTAGGGGGTCTTGATAGAGGAGCTTGGGTTAACACGAGGCCATGGGGATGGGCGCTCACGCAGGATGGCCGGGCACCCAACTGGGACGCGCCAAGGGAAGAGCAGGGAGGAGCCAGCCCCGCAGCCCCAGGAGGAAGCGCCCCTGCGGGCACTGCTCCTTGCCTGTGAAACACTGAGTTTCTGTCTGTAGGCCACCTCACCAAAGCTACTTTGCATCAGCAGCCTGAGCAAACTAACTGGCAGGAATTGTCGGTGGCCTCCAAATACCGCTCTTTCACTTTAAAAAAAAAAAAATCCCCCACCCAAAAGACTTAAAGACTTCAAGTCCTGGGTTCCCTTGGTGCTAGATGTGGGCATGTGACCAAGTTGTGGCTAATGAGTAAGTGGGAGCGTCACCGGTGAGTCCCAGGCAGCAACATAAAAAGGGAGGTAGTGCCATCCTATTCCTCCCTTCCCCTTCTCGAATGTGCAGCCTGAAACTTGGGTCTGATGGCTGGAGCTCCAGCAGCCATCCAGGACCGTGAGTGAGGACACAGGTTGTTCCCTGGGATGGTAAAGCAACAAAGAGGCGGGAGCTCAGGTTGCCCAGGAAGCTGGAGTTGCCGCGTTAGCCGTAAGCGTCTACTTCAAGACATATTTGACATGGAGAAGTCTGCTGACGCCACTGTGGGACTGGTCCCTCTGCGACTTAAAGCCACAGGTAAAAGGACAGAATGAGGGTCTTGGCGGGACAGCGGCTGAAGTGACAACTGTTTCTAGGCACCCGCTCAGGGAGTGACAACTGTTTCTAGGCACCTGCTCAGGGAGAGTGAGGCCGACAAGTGGCTTCAAACTGAGGTCTTTCCTTGGCCACAAAGCGGAAGCGTGGCCTTGGAGAGGGCAGGATGCAGAGGACGTGGCCAGAGGGTGCGGAGACGCTGCAGGAATCAGCATGGAACATCTGGGGGCCGACCGAAATGACTCACTGC